ATTATTAAATATTAAATATATTTAAAAAAAGTATAAAATGAATTTTAATAAAAAGTTTTATTTATTTTATTTAAATTTTTTAATTTAATAATAATTATATTTATATATTTATTTATTATTTTAAATATTAATTTTTTAATATTTTTGAATTATAAACTATTTAAAATATAATTAACTAATTTAATAAAAATTATTTATATTGATAAAAATAATTTATAATTAGTTTATTTAAAAAAAATTCAATAATATTTAATATACAAAGAATAAATAAAAATATCTAATTATACTTTAATGTAAAATTAATTTTAAATTATAACTAAATGTAATGTAATATAATATAATAATATAATTTAAAATAATTATATATTTTATTAATAATTATTATGATTGGTGTAATTATTTTAATTATATTATAATATTTCTTATTAGATCTTTAATTTTGTAAAAAAATATAAATTGTGTATCATTTTTTATATAAAATTAATTAAAATTACTAATACAAATTAAATATAAAATAAATAATAAATATAAATCTTTAAATATTATATTTATTACAAATTTAAATAATAACTAATTATTCAAATTAAATTAAATTTTAATATATTATTAATATATTTTCAATATATAATATATTAAAATTTTATTTAATTTTAATAAATAGTTATTTAAAAAATATTAAATATAATTTAATAATTAAAATTATTTATACAAATTATTTATATAATATTTTTTAATAATTATTGATAAATTTAGAATTTAGAATTAAACGTACTATTTAGTTTTAAATTTAAATTTAATTATTTTTTTAATTATTTAGTTTGATTTATAAAATCTAGTTTGCATTTAAAATAAGTATAAATAAGTGTTAAACTGGTTTGATATTAATAAAAATTTATATTGATTATTTTTAATTAGATTAAAAAATTTACAAATTTTATAATATAAATTTAATAAAAACTTATAAAGTAATTTGATTAAAAAATTTTTTTTTTAAAAAATTTAGTTTTTTTTAATATAATGAAAGTTTTTAGATATTAAAATACAGAATATTTACATAATATATTTATTAATTAATAATTATTATTTTATTAAGCAAAAATTATTTTTTATATAAATTTTGTAAATTTGATAATAATAAATATAAAACTGATTATAAAGATTAGTTTAATAGTATTTGTAAAAAATCAATTTGAAAAGAATCAAATTAGTTACATCAGTTTTAAATTCAGTTTTAAAAATGCAACTGATTCTAAACTCTATATAAAATTTTTATATAATATAGTTTAAGTATATAAAAATTTAATTTATTTTAAATTAATTTTTAAGTAATTTAATATGATAATTAAATTTTTTATTAAAGTGATCTTAAAGATAATAATACTTTCTTAATTTTTAATATAATAATTAATTAAATTTTTTTGTTAATTAATTTTTTGCAAGTTTTTTAATTTTATTTTATATAATAATTTAACTTAGTTTGTTTTAATAATTATAATATATTTAAATCTTTTTTGTATTTTAATAAGTCCTATATCTTTCTAATAAAGATAAAATAGAATAATAGTCAGATTCCATCATTTGAGTAATGAACTTATATAATAATGACTATAATTAACAAACATAAAACTTATTCTTTATAACCTTTGCAAACTATTTACAAATTTATAAAATGTTTTTGACTGTTTAAACTTTAATTATTTGCAATTCTTTTAATTATTTATAAATTTATTATATGTATATAATAATATATTTAAATTTCTTATAAAACTAGGAAATAGAAACTTTATATATCTGAAGTATTTAATATTACAGAAAAATTCAAAAAATAATTTAATGTAATACTAATTTTTTATATATACTAATTTTGTAACACTGATTTAAGTAACACTGATTTTTATTATTATTATCTGAGCATGCAATTTTGATTGTTACACCTAATTCTAAAATTTGATTGGACATTTTTATATAGTGACAGATAAATGTTGCAAAATCCTCCACTATACTTCAGATAATAATTATAAAAGTATAAATATATAAAGTACAATTTTTTTAATTTTTTTCTAATTTTAATTATACTTCAATATGAATTGACAAATTATTAATTAAATTGTAATTTAACAAATGAATTGTATTTTGACAAATATAATTATTTTATTAATAATTTATAATAAATATCGAATTTATATAATTAATTTTGATATCATCAAAATTAATTAGCGTTAAAGTATAATTTTAACTGAAATTACCGAAATTATAAATTAAATTTATAAAATCACGTGATTTTACAACTTTTTTTTTGAATAGGTTTAATAATATAAAAATTAAAAATTAAGTTTTATTTATAAACACGAATTAAACTAAATTATATGTAAAGTAAAAATATTATATAGTTTTTATAATTACTAATATATATATTCTTTTTAGAATTTATATTACACATTCAGCTTTTAATTTATTTATATACTTTGTAAACTATAAAATTTATAAAATTTAAATTTTAATATTTATATTTTTAAAAAAAAATTAAAAATTTTAATTCTAAATACAAGAGTGATTAATTAATAAATCATGTTATTAATTGCCTTAACGTTAATGCCGAGTTGCAATGCTCCTTCCTCTATTAAACATTTTACTTTTTTTGAGAAATTGGAATTTAAAAATTAATTTTTACAGTTTATTGAGAACAAAATGGCATATTTATGATTTTGATTTATTACTCGTACGGTTTAAATAATTAAGATATAAAATTGTAAAAAGGATGGAGGGTCTAGAAAATGATGTGTTCGTATTTTAATTTCAAATCTACAAATAAGATAAAATTTCCATTGTTATAAAGATGCTGAATTTTATTGCGCAACGGGAATTTTTCAGGAGCAAAGTGAATATGTTCTCAAGTAATGGTCACGGTCATGACCGGTCATGACCGTGACCGATATCGGTCGGTCAAAGGCTTCTGACCGACCGGTTGACCGACCGATTCTGACCGATTTTGACCGACCGGTTGACCGACTGACTTGAGATTGAACAACCATGTTTTTATAGTAAAAACACATTGTATTAAATTAATATCAACATTTTATTTTAATTATATATAAATTAAAGTTTTGAAATTTTAAAAAAAAAATTAAAATCCGCGATAATGCTGCGCCACTTAATAAAAATGACAAAGTAGTTTTAAAAAATGCCATGCTAGAATTGTTAACGTTAAAGCAAGTATCAAATTATAAAACTGCTCAATTATATTAATATATTAACCGGTCGGTCAACTGGTCAGTTAAAACCGATCAGTTAACCGGTCGGTCGGTCAAAGGCCGTTGACCGACCACGACCGACCGTTACCATCCCTATTCTCAAGCAACGTTGATTATGATTATTAATTGTCTATTAGGACTATATAGAATATCTTATGTTGAACACATACATTTAGCTTGGCTATTTATTTTAAATTGCGTTACAAATGAGGAATAAACCTAATATTGATTACAAATCAAATGAATCATGGTGCAATTTGAATTCCTAATAAATGATTTGATGTTGAGTTATTAGCTAATAAACAAAAATCTTTAATAATACAACTAGCGTTGCGAAAGGGTCGGTCGGGTACCGACCCGGATGTAAATGTCGTAACCCAACCCGGCTCGGCCAAGATGCAATTTGATTGACCCGGGTTAATTTACAAAATTACAGTGAAGCATTATTTAAGCATACTTAAAACTGCATATAATTTCTAAATTATAAAAATTATTTCTGACGGGTCATATGCATAGTGACTCCTAAATTCGAGTCGGGCCAATAATACGGGTCTGACCGAACCTTTCGGAGCACTATATTTGCTTAACTTCAACTTCAAAATATATTTACAGTACCAGGACCAAAAAAATCTATTAATCACCTTCCAGAAGTGCTTATTAATTATGACGTAATACTTAACTAATTTATACCGAGAAAAGCATTGAATTTGTTTGTTAATCAGAAATTGTTCTGATCAAAATGACTGAAAAGAATTTTTATTTCGCCTTTAAATAGGCAATTTTTTTTCTAAATCGGAGCCTTACTTTAAGCAAATTAAAATACCGAGATTACGTTTCCTTGATATTTAGGCCACGCACATAATCATTTTCGGTTCACGTAACATTAAAATTTTAAATTGACGGGGTTTATTGTTTAATAAAAAAAAATTTATATGTAAATCGTAAAGTAGTGATTGGTTTGTTTTTAAGGAGTAATTTGAGTTGAGATATAAAGAAAAGACATAAAAAATCAAGTAAACCAAGAAATGATTGTTAATACATACATAAAATTCGTTACATTGGATATAATTCCCCCGAATAAATCATAATTTTCGCCTTGGTTAGGTAGTCTTTGAAGATCAATTTCGACCATATTGTTATATTGTTAGGATACCATATTGTTATGATGCCAAGTTGTACTAATTAAAATTTTAATATATTTTCCTCTCCTCTCGATATTCATAACTTCATAATTTTTATGCTTAATTTCGTAGTTTAAATATTTGATTAATTGTATATAAATACATAAACTAAATAAATTGAATACCAACATTACACGAGATAAAACTTTTACATATAAAACTTATTTGGTTAAAATTTAAAAGGTGACCCGGCCGGGTGACGTAAAACCGAAAATGATAATCTGCGTGGCCTTATCATAATACTTGCTTAATAATAATAAAAAGTAGAAAAAACTTATAATTTCATCAACTTAATAATAAATAATCGGTAAATCATAGAACGAAGGTTTATAGGTAGTACAGCATATCGTCCATATAGTAATTCAAAAGGTTCGTACATCGTTGTACCCGTTACGCAAAAAAGGCTGAAGTAATTTCTTAACTCCCAATATGTTATTGTTATCAAAATGTATTAATAAAAATTCGAGAAAAAATAATATAAGAATTCGAGTAAAAAGGAAAACGATAATAAAAGAAAAGAAATAAAAAATTTTATTTGGAATAAAATTTGTTGAATAAAATCTTTACCTTAAAAATTTTCTGAAGGATTATCGGTTAAATAACAATCTTTCTTCATTCCCTTGGGTAAATTATTAGCTTCATTTATGGTTTGACCTTTATGATTTTGGTGTTTTCTTTGCAAATTACATTCTAATAAACTAACGGTTGAATGTTCATATTCAATTTGATCTCGATAATCCTGGCTTATTTTATCTTCTCGAGCACCAATTTGATCATTTTCCGCACGTACATTGACATTTATTAACTTTTGATCTCGATCTATTTGATATCGTTTTTGCAATCTCGCTTTTTCGTCCACAGAAAGATTTTTCCACCATTATGACACTAGCTTACTAAATTTTGTCATAGGCATATTATGGGGTCTATACTTCATCATATCTTTCCGATACATTATAAACATATTTGCTTTTCTCTTCTTTGGGGCTTTTTCTGTGGAAGATAATGTATCGGGTTCAATAAAAACGAACATTATTCGTAATTATTACTAGCGTCGATAAATAATATGATAAGATGAAGGAGTGCCCAAACAACGATAAATCGAAATTTGCCATATTTATAAAAATTTAAATCCGTTGATATTACTCTTCATTCGGTCGAAAATAAATTGAAGTTATAATACTAATTATGTAACGATATTGTTTCAATTGAATCATAAAACTTTAGTTCCACCATACAAATTCTCGAATTAGATTTTTTTGGCCTAGTCATTTAGCTAGTCATATGGGAAGATTGCTAGGAAAATCGGGTTCTGAGATTTTTAATCTAATAACTTTAAAAAAAAAAAAAAAAAATTAAAGTACAATAAAAATCAAAATTTTCCCAGAACCTGATATTTCTAGTAAAATTCACATATGGGCTTCGTCAATAGAAACACATCTTATAACATAATAATAAATTATTATGTAATATGGTGACATAGCCCCCATATGACTATTAATATCATCAACAATTGAATTTAGACATCAAATATTGATGTACAAAATTCTTCTTTTTTTTTTATTAGTTAGCTGTAAAAGCCTGTGCTATAATGCCTGACCGAAAAAACAACTTGTATTACGATAATTGTATTACGATAATTGATATAATTGATATAAATAATTGATATTATTTTAATATTTAGTTAGTTTGATTTTCCACCTTTTATTATATGTAGTTAGAAAATCTTTATTTATTTATTTTTTTTTAAATAACATTTCATATTATGCTTATAAATAACGAACAGCTGGTTAATATATAAGAATTTTGTCTGGTACGACGAATAATACTATTCCTTTTAAATTATTGTTTATTGCGGATAAACCAATCGAGAGGTGTTATAACTAATTCAAGAATACAATACATTTCTAACTCAGCCGTCATTTCTCGCCAATTCTTTTAATTTTCAGATGGAAGTTAGAATGTTTGATTTTTTCTTTTTCCTGATTTTATTTTCCGAATCTTGTGAAATGTTATAATCATAAGTACGCAAATAAAGAGAATTTTTTTATGTGAAAAAATAAAGAAGTTATAAGATAATAAATAATAAATATAAACTTCTTTTTTCCTTTTTTTTGAAGCAATCGGTATTGTAAGAAGAGAAGGTAATGAAAGTATGGATATCTGGATGACCGTCTTTTCCCTATATTTACGCCCGAAGATATATTGATTTACGGGAAAATATGTACTTAATGAGAATCTTCCTCACGATGATAAGTTAGAAGTAAGAATAATTCAATCAAAATATTCCCTAAAAAAAAAAATAAATTAACGATGCCCACATCATCAATAAAAAAAAAAGCGGCGCCTCAAAGTCACACTAGTTGGATTAATAAATCTCTAGAAAATTATGTAAGGTTCTCTTAAATGTTTAATTAAATAAATAATTAAAACGAATTAGGAATTAATACTTTACGCCCTTTTGATGCAGAAAATAAGTTATACGGTTTTTCTCCGAATGCACTTCGATTTACTTGTATTTAATTTGATAAAAACAAAATAATATTTTTCTTTAACTATGTATGCATTTCATGGTGCTTCTAAATGAACCTAAAAAAATTTCGTCTTAAGAAATTTAAAAGTTAGATATTTCAATCAAGAAATGAAACTTTCTGCTATTTTGCGAGCACGATTACCAAAATTCATAAACATCGGAACATCCCTCCGAAACTCGATAAGATTCGGTGTGTCTTATTCTGAGCTTTGCCAAGTTTTGCCGAGTTTCTCTTGGCATGTGACTAAGTTCCGTATATTGTGAATTTTGCTGTAAAATAATAATAAAAAATATTAACAATTTTGACAATCTTTAATTAACTATATTAGGATCAAAATGAGTCAACTTGCATGTTCAAAGGTTTAAACAGACAATTATATTTCTTAGCTTGAAAGTTAATAAAGTTTAATTGAGAATCCAAATTTGGATGGGTTAAGATCATTAATGTTGAAAAGACTCTATGTCCGTTATCGTAAAAAAAATTTTTTTTGTGTGTTATATTATTTTACCAAATACAGAATTTGACAATTCGGATATTCATAAATATTCAATTAATTTAACAAGGCTTCGTATTGGAATGAAGAGTTTATGAAACTCTTTTGATGTAGGCCCAATTGTTTATGTCATTTATTGATAAAGGGATGATATGATTAGCATTGAAATGAATTGATTTAGGGGTATCGAGGCAACGAATTAAATTACAAATCATGAAGAAAAAAATTACATGGAATAATACATTATTATTTATTGAGAGTTGATTGATTAACAGTATACAATAATTTCTCGAATTACTTATTTCAAGACAAGGAGGCTAATCCCTATCATGCTTATCATTAAAATCAATACCTATTAACAGTAAATGTCTAGTGTAATCTCCTATTTTATTTAAAATTCATTGTTATTTTTTTTGTCGATCACCTGATTGCTGCGTGACATCTACTAACCAAATTTATCATCTTTTATTTTTTTTTTTGTTTTATTGTTACAAGAATTATCTATTACTAGCTTTGTTATGAATATTCTTGGGTGTGGTGAAAATTCAGAAGTCTCTCTATAAATATCCTTATTATGATAATTCCTGTATGATTATTACAATTATTAAATGATTTCTTTGTACAAGATCTTATAGATTGTGGTGAACTTGGTACCTTCTATCAAGTAGAAATTTGCCGAAATACACTTGCAAGATTAAATTTATACTTCGATTATGCAATGACTTTTCGCGATTGTATACGTATATAAAACATAAAAATAAGCCGGCTTTTTTGAATTAGGAAAAAAATTTTATTTCCTTAAATAATTAAGACAAAAAATTACAATCGTATTATGCGCAAAAGTATCGGGGAAATGCGAGGTTCTAAGAATCTGATTTCTCAAAATATCCTTGGAAAAAAAATAAAATAAAATGATTTATAAATGATCAAATCGAAATAATTTCTATTTTAATCATAAATTAAATCTCATGCATGATAAAATTTTACTATTGTTATATCGGCTGATTTTGATATATCCAAAAATGGTATAACGTACATGCACATTTAGGAAAGTGAATAATTATCATGCAAAGAACATTTCCTCGAATATAACTTTTGACTTTTCTTTTGAATTAACGTTATCCCGAAATTTAAATTCCGGTATTATGAAAAATTTTTTTTTCGGAGTCAATAATTTCTCCGGTTTTTATATTTTTTTAATGACCAAATTAGTTTAAATTTTCTAATAATGAGAAATGTAATTAAAGGATTTTTAAAAGTATAAAATGAATGACTTAAACTCTTCAGTCTGCTCGTGAATTAAAATCATCATTTCGTAATCATGAGCAAGCGCAAGCGCTCCGCGAATGCATATTTCCGTTATCGAAGTTCACGAATTTATAAGCGGAAGCTTAGAATGACCGAGTGCTCAAAAATTACCAGTGAAGAATGGAAATCAGTTGATGATTCCCAAAAATGCAAATTTTATCAAGAATACGCAAAAGATCTGGTAATGAAAGAAGCTGATTCCGGCGGAAATGGTCTGACAGTAAAGACTTATGAACAATATGGTAACATCGCCTTCGTACGTGAAACGCCTATTCCAAAAAAAAAAACAAACGCTGTTGGTAAAAAAGTTTTGTCGCAAATAAAGCGTGTTATGGTTCAGGCTCCTTCTATCTCGTTTGAGGGTGAACGAAACCTAAATAATAATCAAACGAACGCACATTCTTATTATGCCGAATTCGGTGGCGAAGTTGTATTGCATGATCAAGAAGATTGGTTCCAAAAATACACGGTTGGCACTGATTTTGCAAAATATTAAATTTTCCTTTTCTCGTTATATACTGTATACTTTATTTCGATTTTGAAAACACGTTAGTTTTTTTTCGTTCGTTTCTTTTTTGATTTCTTCGTTCTTTCGTTTCTCTGATTCTATATTATATTTTTAATATTCATCTATTATGACATTATATAAGATTTAAAATTTATGTATTATACCGTATTAAGAAAATAAAACACATTTTATTGAAATTTCTTTTTTTTTTTTTTACTGTTTTAAAATTGTTTCTTTGTAAATTTCGAGCTATAAATGATTTAATATATCTTAACTTTTTCATGATGATAAATGATTAATTTGCAGAAATTTTGATCGTTAATATTTATTGGTCACTACAGAAAATATCTAACAATAAAATTATAATATTGATGTGATTTTTTTTTTTTTTTTTAAGACAATAAAACATTTTTTTTCTAAATATAGAAATGTACATGTGCTAAGCTATTAAAATGATGATCAAAAAATGAAAAAATGCTACGCCACAGTAAATATTTCCAACCAATAATAATAAATTGTTCTAATTTTAAAACTTATTAAAATTTTACTTTTTGCTATTATAAAATATATAAAGTTTTATTATCCTATCGGGACATTGTTACACTAATTTTTGTAATCAAAATCACGGGACATTGTATTAGAAAAATGTTTTTGAAAAATGTTTTTTATTATCAATGATTAAAAATGAATTTTTTAATGTAATATTCTTTTAATTTTTAAAAAAATTATTTAAATTATTTTTTCACGTTTATTTTTCAGTAAAAAATTTTTACTGGTATAAATACCTCCAGACCTCTCATTCAAACATAAAAAAATTTTGAATTTTTTAAAAGGGTCCAGAACTTTTTGAATAATAATGTCGATCATTGATCATTTCTAAAATCTAATTTTAGATTTTTCTGATGTTACACAAAAGTGAAATTTTGACGGTCTAAATTGCTTGCTTTGTTAATAAGATAATCGACTATAAAAATTTAACCTTTTTAGCATTCTTTCTTCTCTTTAGAACAAAAAATCTTCAATAACATTTTTCCTCAATTATTTTAATTATTTTACTAATTAAATAAAAATGATGAAAATTAACAATGTAAGATGTTATCGAAAAAAAATATGCGGGGATCCTATTATGATTCCAATTTGGCGATGATCAGCTAGCCAATGGTTCGATTTTAATGTTCATTTGGGTGTTTGTGCGACAGATGTTATGAATTCGGATCTATTGAAAAAGAACATTCATTTCTTGTTCATCAATAAATTTAATGGATATAGGCAATTAAACCAAAAAAATTTTTATTAAAAAACAAAAAAATCGATCTGACGTGATGTTTCAATTATAAATTATTAATTTTTATTGAACGATTGGTGTGCCAAATTTCGTAAAGAAAAAAAATTAAATGTTTTAATTATTAAAGCATTCGCATCATGTAATTTGATATGAATAATGCTTGCAATTGTAACCTAGTTTATTAATTACAATTATCAAATGTTAATTAAATAAAAGACACATGGAAAAGAAGTGTGAATAAAAGAAGACAATAGGAAACTTTCATTGGCTTATCTTATGATCTATGTGTTAGCATTGTATGCTTGTTTGCTTAATTTTGATACCATTTTTTATAATCTCGGACGAGATTTCCGATTTAAATTATTAATTTTGAGTCCATTTTGGGATAAAAATTTTATAAATGTGATCGGCTAATTTAATAAGCTGGCAAAAAAATTAACACGATCATTGAATTGAATTTATGTTATTTGTATTATTTAATCAATAAAATGATTCGAGGAAATCATTCGCTTGAGATGACAATTCAATTCTTTATAGGGCATCTTTTTATTTATGATGCATTATCCTATGAAAAAAAAAATATTTTATATAATAAGAATTACATAATTGATGATAAAGTTTATATGCAATGAATTATTGTAATTTAATATAAAAATTCACAATATTCTCTTTACTTTGTCTTTATTCGAGAAAATAAAAAATGGGGGATAATAACTTACCTTTGTATTTTTTTGAACCAGAGACATCCAATGCATCGAGAAAAGGCCCGAGGAGAAGGAGACCAAATATGTTTATTTCCTATCGTAAAGAAATGATGAATAGTAAACCGCCAAATATGCAAATGACTGAATACAGTAAGCTGGTGTCAAAATGGTGGAAAAAGCTTTCTGCGAACGAAAAAGCGAAATTGCAAAGACGATATCAAATCGAACGAGATCAAGAAGTACAACGTATTTCCAGCAAAATCGATGAAGGAATGTCAAATCCTAACATTATTAATTCCATTTATTTTGGATATTATCTATTGTAATTTAACGTTATCCATCCCCTTAATATAAATATTCGTCTCGTCTATTCGTTTATTGTTGATTTGACGTTCGATTCGTTTTCAGTATAACTCTTCGTATTTTTAATTCTTGTTAATCTTTATTATCGTCTCACAAGCTTATGTATACGCTCGTCTTTCACGTAACGTATTATAATTCCTTCAAAGAATATTTCGTTTATTTTAGATTTATTATGTACGAAACCTATTCTTTTTTTTTAATGATACGACGCTATTTTTCGATAACGATTGAATTTTTTTTTTCATAATTCCTTCAAAATACATTCGTTTCGTATCAATTATTTTTATATTCTCGTTATCTTTATTCATCGTATTCACACACTTATGTAAATGCTCGTTTTTCGCATTTTAAAATTTCTTCATAAGACATTGTCGTTATTTTTGTTATTATATTCGTATCTCACTTTCTAAGAATTATTATCGTTATCCATATTTTACATGTGAATATTGGATTTATTAATAACTATTAAGATTCGAGTATCTTAATGAAAAAATTAAAGATAAGATGTAAAATAAAATAAAGTATTTAGTAAAATTATTTGTTTATTTATGAATTTAGAAATTAATAATGACCGAAATATGTGACGGGTTAAGCCACAATACTATTAGGTGTGACGTTTAATGTCACATCTCACGTAAACTGCGTTTCAATTTTTATTATGATTTCAGGACTCGGGTTTTTTTTGGTTAGGAGTTAGCATATTTGTCAATCGTTATTTGTCACAGCTGCCACCACAATTGTGGGGCGGTTATTTAATAATTATGCGCCACATTAAGCATTGTTTAAAAAAAATAATTTGTGTACCGCGACAATTGTAGTAAATTTTTACACAATCGTAACATCTGCTTAGTAATGTTTATCAATTTATCAATGTAGAGTCTATTCAAACGGTAGATTATTTTATTGTTATAAATAATAAGAGAAAAAGTCAAAAAAAGTCAATTTGAAAAGGCCTATAAAAAAGATTCAAAATCGTAAAATGTAAACTAATCCCTCCTTTCTTTTCTTTTCTTTTATGTATTTATCACATAAAGCAACTAAGAAACTTAGAGTCTCATCATACACCTTGCTAAAGCAAGGAAAAATCACTGCTCCTTCTAACGTTTATTGCTCATCATTGATATCAGGTACGAATGGAACTATTGTATCAAGATATATTTTAAAATAATTGCGAAATATCATTCGGATTTACAGGCAACCAATAAAATAGCTTGTATACAACCCATCTTTAATTATTAACAATATCGAATTACTTTCAATGATTTGACTTAAAATCGAGTTCAAAACAAAAAAAAAATATACAAAGGATATTTATGTTCGTTTAAGAATTTTATCTCTATAATATCGAAAAAAAAATCTGGTACTCACCTTTACATTATACCTTTCATTCTTCCAGAGCTGACTTCCCAAAATTCTGGTAACACCACCACCACCACTACTACCACCACCAACACCAAAAAAGGGTTTCTTTACACTTGGGTCTTTAGTATCAAGCAAAAAGAAGACCTTGAATGGCAGAAACAACTCCTTAGCTCCTGATTTCCAACCTATAAACTCATCAGTAATATTGGATCAGAAATCAACTTTAATGCAAAGGACTATAAACTTTACTAGAACAATCGTGCAAAGTTTTGTCAGAGAGATTGTGGCTAACCACTATAATTAATTATGCAGGTCCACCTATGAATTTTTTAAACACATGTTCTCTCTCAACTTTACAAAACTCATGATTCTCTTCGATGATTTAACAACTAATAGACATAAGTTGTCTTAAGATATTCTTGCTATTAATAATGGCTTCATTTACAGATTACAAGAAAGAAGAGCAGTAAAACACATAAGAAAAAGAAAAAAAAAGAAGAAAAAAGGACAAAATGTGAATAGAATATTGAAAGTAAAATTATACCCAAACTTTACACAAAAATATATAAACGATGGATAGAGCTATCAAGATTGACCTATAATATAATCATTGAGTATCTGCAGAAAAAACAGTTTTTGGTTGTATATGTAGATAAAAATGGAAATAGATGCAAAATGATGAACTTTCTAAATATAAAATTCCTGAGAATGATCATATATTTAAAATTGAGAAGTAAAAAAGCCTATGATAATATGTCAAATAACTTAATTAATAAAACTATAAATTAAGTTGTTAAAAATTTTAATTCAAAAGATAAAAAAACCAAGTTGAAGTTCAAGACCAGACAAGACCTAAAGCATACTATCACCATATGCATATAAAATTTCTCAAAAAATATTAGAATAAATTTTACATATCATACCTATTTAAAAGTTCTAATTATATGAAAATATCAAGGAAGAAACTATATAATCACCTGAAAGGATCAGGAAATCTAAGAGATTTGTATTTTGAGACTAAGAGAAAAAATAATAGTTGGCCATTAGCAAAGATCAATAATAATTGCAAACTCACTTACTTTAGAAAAACTAATGAATAGATCTTATTGTAAGTATATAAAAGATAAAAAAAATAATAAAAACATATAAAAGGTTTGTGACTATTGATCTAGGAGTTCAAACTCCATTTATAATGTACTTACTTACAAAATGAATTATAGAGGTTAGTAAAAATGATTTGTAAAAATTTATGAAATTAAAGGTTAAAACTGGTTAAAAATTCTTTAGCTGATTAATAACTGATTAATATATTTATTAATTGATTAATTAACTGGTTAAAATTAACTTTGGCTAGTATTATAAATTTGGTCAGAATTAGAAAATATTTTGTCAATCATAAAAATCTTAATTCTAGCTGGAATTGAATTTTGATCAAATTTAAATTCATCTATTTTAACCAGTTAAAAAAATTTTAACCAGTTAATATGTTAACAATTTTAACTAGTTAATTAACTGATTAAAAATTAATTGATCCTAATATTTAGATGAGACTTTATTTGCATGCAAATAAACTAAGTTCAGTAAAAGACAAGCTTAAGAATTCAAGTTCTAAGAAAAAGAAAAAGAAGGTTAAGAAAATTGATAAAGTAATTTCAAGAATTTTTAGAAGGATCTAGAATCTTAAAAATAAATTACACAAGAAAACTGTGAATTATCTTACAAAAATTATGATGTTGTTATTATATTTGAATTTAATATTCAAATATGATAAGATGAAAAAAGAGAAAAATCAATTCAAAAACTATGCAGCATATGTTAATATGATCATATTACTCATTCTAATAATGGTTAAAATATAAAGCTGATGAGACTGGTATGAAAATTATCATACAAAATGAAGCCTATACCTCAAAAATATATTCTACATGTAGAAATATATAGAATATTAGAGAAAAAAAAGTTTACAATTATAAGAGATGTAATGTGATTATAGATAGGAATGCAAATAAAGTGCAAAAGATATTTTTTTGCTTATTACTTGATAAGTCATATGCATACATATGTAGGAATTGGTAATCATGTTTAGAAAAATTATTAATGATATATTACAATCTATTTAACTGATCATTTTCAAAACTAAATGACAATAATATGAAAAAAAATAGTAAATATTACTGTATAATGTGAAAATGATTAATAAAATAAATGAATTCTAGATTCTCAAAAAAGAAAATTATATTACAGAAGTATTGTTTAAAACTAATAAATTACATCTTTTAAAACACATTAGTAGCAAAAAAATATAAAATTATAAATCCTTCTAAAAAAAAATTATGAGTATAAATACGAGAATGATGTTTAGTTTTAAGAAAGTACAGAATAGATATTAGATATATTTATAGATTTTAAGAAAATTATTTAGCTCAAACTTTTTAGACAAATATTTTAATTGAATTTTAGCAGATTCAATTTGCTTAACATTTCTTTTTTATTTATAATCTTTTAGTTGTCTAAGAAAGAATCTTTTTCAAAATAGAATATAAAATAAATCAAAAGTTCAATAAAGAAATATTATAAATTTATTTACTATTATTAAGATTACAAGATAAAACCTAGAGATTTGCAAGTTATTTAAATAGAAAAAAGTAAAATTTAGCGAAATTATATTAAAACCTTATTAAAAAATCTGCAAATATTCTGAAAAAGGTAAAATTATATTAAAGTTTATAAAAATGTGAAACTATATCAAAATTTTAGTAAAAAATTAGTAAAACTATAGTTTAGACATTTTGCCAAATTCAAAATAAGTTTAAATAAGTAACCTTAGCTATTGCTTTTTGTCATATCTTTATATAAATGTAATTGTAAAAAAGTTTTATATTTAATTTAATATATTAAATTAAAGTTAATTGTTTAAGTTTATAGATATCAAGTTAATAATGTAGAATAAATAAATAATAAATAAATAGTATAATAAAGAAAAAATATAAAAATAAATTAGAATTGATAAAAATGAAATAAAAAGAATTATTGAATTTAATAATAATAATAAAATCAAATGAAAAATTATATAATTATACTAATATTGAAGATTTGAAAGAGAATCATGAAAATAAAGATAAAGAAATAATAGCTAATATGGATTTTATATAATAATAATAAATAATTGAATAAAATGTCTAATATATAAGAAAAGAAAGAAAATGGAAAAATTAAGAAAAGAAGAATATTAATAATGCAAAAATAATAAAGATTTTGTAGCTACAGAAAATAAAATAATATGATTTTAAAATTAATGATTATATAAATATTAAATTATAAGATGAATGACACTTCTTTTAAATGATAAAAGGTCTCTAAACTATCTTCAAAATTATTAGATTTAGTGGATTATGAGAGGCTAAATTTGTGGACTTACTAACCTTTAAGGGTAGAGATCAAGACTCTAAAAAATAGTTGAAAAGGTATAATCATGCTGAAGATGTGAATGGAATCTCTAATAAGTGACATTTTATATTAAATAATAATAATAATGTAGAAATAATGAAATTGAAATTGAACAATAATATAATGAATGTATAAAATGAAGAATAGATAAATT